ATGGAGGGATGTCGCTGCAACCGCTTGGGTGATCTTTGCAGCAAAGCCTTCCGTGTAGATGGCAAAGAGCAATGGCGACAGTGGATCCCCCTGGCGTATGCCTCGCTGAGGCTGGAAATAGCCGTACTGGGCCCCATTCAGAAGAACTGAGAAATGAACAGTTGTTACACAAGCTTTTATCCACTTCATCCACTGCTCGCAGAAGCCAAAAGCCTGCATAATGTGAAACAGGAATGCCCATTCCACACGGTCATACGCCTTCTCCATATCCAGCTTCAAAGCCATCCATTTGTCATGACCCCGAGTCTTGGTCTTCAGGAACTGCATCACTTCTTGACCCAAAAGAATATTATCAGTGATGCATCGACCTTTGACAAACCCGTTTTGAAAAGGGCTAACAATCAGTGGTAAAATGATACTGAGTCGAGACGACAAAATTTTGGCAATTATTTTGTACAAAACCTGGCACAGGCCGATCGGCCGCATTTGTCTCATCGAATCAGCATTAGCTACCTTCGGTAAGAGTGTGAGCAGGGTATGGTTGACACTATGTAATAGCCTGCCTGACTGAAAAAAGGAAAGTACGGCATCCGAGACATCCTCACCGACTTCGTTCCAGAACCTTTGGTAAAAGGCAGCCGTGAATCCGTCAGAACCCGGAGATTGTCCATGACCAATGGCGAAGATGGCCTGCTTGATTTCACTCCGAGAGACCTGCATTGTAAGCATCTCATTCATGGCAGTAGAAACCTTTAATGGAAGGTTCAGGCTTTGCACAAATTCAGAAGGGTCAGCACCATTAGAGGTAAATAGAGATTCAAAGTATGAAACAGAGATACCCCCCTTAGCTGGCTCGGCTGAATGCACTTCCCCCTGGTCATCACTTAGCCTTGGGATGAAATTTGTCCGCCGGCGTCGCATTGTCGTCACATGGAAATAGTTGGTGTTCGCATCCCCCCCTTGAAGCCACTGATTTCTAGACTTTTGCTTCCAGTATAATTCTTCCTGCCGGTAAGCCTCCCCAAGTTGTGTCTCCAGTTGGCCGATGTGCGTCCAATCGAGGGCTGGAGCTTCCCTGGCCATGTCAATGTCTCCCCTGAGTTCCCGGATGCGGCGAGCAGAGTTCGAGGTCCCTGCCTTGGCCCAGGTCAGCAGCTGATGCCGGGTGTTCTTGAGCCGTGATTGGACTTTGAAAAGAGGCGTCCCAGCAACTGGTTGGGCCCACGCCTCTCGCACTAAGTCTGGAACAGCCGGGTTTGAATTCCAGCGGTAATCATAGTGGAATCTCCGGCAGTGGCGCCCCGTCGTTTGCACAAACTTCACTAATAACATTCGATGATCAGATCCCCTGTCAGATAGATGCTCAACCTGAATATCTGGCCATAGAGAAAACACAACGTTATTACCCAAACATCTATCAAGACGAGATTGGATATGATCACCGTTTGATTGACGGTTGGTCCACGTAAACGCCGGGCCAACAAATCCTAAGTCCTGAAGGCCTCCTGCATCCAGAAATAGATTAAGATGTGCGAGAGCGGCAGGGGAAGGGGGTCGCCCACCTTGCTTCTCAACACTGGACAGCAGACAGTTAAAATCTCCTAGTACTAGTACAGGGTCCTCATACGACGCAACAAGGAATGAGATTTCATTTAATTGAAACTGACGATGGGCTGCATCACAATGTAAATGAACAAAAACTACAGCAAACCTCCCTAGAGAAGGGTGTTCACATTCTACAAATAAGAAACCAAATGCCTCTACTGCAATTGACACAATAAGATTAGACGACCAGGCAAGAGCTAAGCCACTGCCATTCCTAGCGACACTATGTACACGTTCCTCTGGGAAGCCAAGGAAGCCGAGTTGCTGAACCACGAAGTCATCTTCATTCCTTGTTTCGCTCAAACAAACTAGAAACGGAGATTCTTTGAGCAGAGTCTCCTTGAGGGTTGGAATTTTCAGGGGAGCACCCAATCCCCTGCAATTCCAAGCCAAGATCGTCATGGGATATGCTGGGACCGATTATGGCCGGCTGCCTCCACCATAGAGAATTCGTGATCGCCCGCCTGGATTTGCATTCCTAGACGAGCCTTCTTGGATACTGGTTCCCCACCATCTTCCACCAAAGCTTTTCCTGGAAGATCAACCACCAATGGACATCCTTCCTGTGCAGCAGGGCAGGCCGAGAGGCTTAAATGGCCCAGTTTAGAGGTCAACCCCAATTGTACAGGAACAAGCTGCCTACCACCACCGTCAGCCACGGCAGTAGTCTTGTCCTTGGCCTCCGGAGCGACCATCGATGACCCGCCAGGTCGGTTTCCGGCCAGTGTCCAAACACATCGCTTGCGCCGACGTGCCAAGGTGCCCTCGTTCACCCTCGGACCGAACTCCCTTGCAATCAACCATTTGCCATACCGAGGTTCCTGTCTGGCCAACTCGTCCTTCCGGGGACAGAACCTGCTCACATGGCCAACAACACCGCAAAGAAAGCAAAAATGAGGGAGGGACTCATATTTCACCTTTGCCTTGAATTGGCCCTTTGATGAGTCTTCATGGGCGGCAGTGATCTCATCCGGAAGAGGCCGTTGAAGGTCCAGAGTGACCCTGGCCCTGATGTACAGCCCCCCAGACGAGGCAGACCGGTGAATGGTCGCCGGATCAGATGGACCGAGGGCCTCCCCGAGTCTCGTCCCGAGACGCTCAGTACAGCAGTAAAAGGGGACGCCCCAGACCTGAATTACCATAGGCACCTGGACCAGCACCGCCGCCAGTTCCGCGGTCGGAGTTTCCCACTGCCGGGTGTGGATAAGGAACTTCTCGAAGACCCACGGCGATCCAGAGCGGATTCTCCGAGCAGTTGCAGCATCGGGGAAAACGAATTGAAGCAAATCCCATTCCACCATTGCGACCGAGAAGTCGCATTTCCAGACCCGGCCGGCAATAGAGCGCAGCACCGAGATAGATGGAACCGGTCCACAAAGCCTGCCAATGAGAGTTTGGTCAAGGCGCTGAGCCCCCACAGCCACATCTGCGTCGTTAAATTGCACAACCGCCATGGGAAAGGGAAAAGGGGAAATCAAGGGTTCCGCGATTGCGATTGAAATGGAAAGGCCCCAGGTAGCAGATACGCAGATGGAGAGTCGGGGGATGATGAGGCCCCCTTTTATCCTGCAATCGCTGTCAAGCGGCCGAGAACGGCGGGGCACGATGGCGGTTATCGCCATCACCATTGTCGCACGAAGGCGAATACCCAACCACTCGCCCGACGTGGGGAGAGAGGAGGGAGAACACTCTTTTTTTTTTTTTTCCCCCACGGGTTACAGAAGACCGAAGCCTGGAAGCTTCAGGCAGACATTATTTAGAGAAATGGGTCTGAGCTGAGACGCCATCTCCGGGTGCTCCACTTTCGGAATGAGGACCACAGTCGAATCAGTGACATTATCCGGAAGACCACCTGCAATAAAAAATTTCATGGCCATGTTAATCAAGGATTTGCCCACAATCCTCCACTCCCGCTGGTAGAAGGCAGCATGAAAACCATCTGGGCCCGGAGCTTGGAACGGTTTCATCTCATGAATAGCCCGATGGATATCCTCTGCTTTGAACGGTCTCAGAAGAGCAACAAGGTCCTCCTGGTTAAGGCGGGGGAAAACTCCTCTGGGCATGAGGTCTTCATAATTGTGGTTATCCTGCACAAAAAGCGAAGCAAACACATTAAAAACCCAATCAGCAAGCTCCTGGGGGTCAGTGATCCACTCCCCATTAACTCCTTTGAGGCTGTTAATGTTGTTCCTGCGCCTGCGGATGATCGCCTGGTTGTGGAAGTAACCAGTGTTCCTTTCTCCTTGTTGGACCCATTTCTCTCGTGACCGTTGGTACCAGAAGAGTTCTTCCTGTTCAAGAACCTCATCCAACTCTTTCTCTAGCTTGGTTTGAAGCTTGAGGAGGCCCAAAGAAAAAGCCGTAGCCATCCTCTCCTGAATCCCGTGGATACGGGCCATCAACCTCCTCTTCTTGTGGAATATGCTTCCGAAGGAAGTTTTGTTCCAGTGGTTAAGGCTGGTCGCCATTTTTCCAAGGGCCGCCGGCAGGAAAGCCTGATGGTCCCAACCTCCCTCAACAACCTGGTCAAAAGCAGCACTAGTTGGCCAAGCAGCCTCAAAACGGAAAGGGCGAGAAAAAGAGGAGTTGACTCCCTGGTTTCCAATGGTGGTAAGAATAGGATGGTGATCCGAGTGGAGGCGGGGGAGATGCTTGACAGAGGTGTTCGGGTAGCAAGCGTTCCACATAGTATTGCAGAGGCTTCGATCGATTCGGCTAGCTTTGTACGTGTTGGGGTTGTCCCCTCTCGTCCAAGTGAAGCGCGGACCTGAGAAGCCCAGGTCAATTAGCTCCACCCGATTAATCTTGTCACTGAAAACTCTGCATTTATAGATGGTGGAAGGGGAGGGATGGCCCGTTTTCTCTTCCGGCTTCAGGATGGCATTGAAATCTCCGGTTAGAAGCCAAGGCAGATCGTTCGACTGGCTGGTGTGATGGAGAGCTCGCCACAGGCTATGCTGTTGGGACTGCTGAGGACTAGCATAGACTGCAGTAAGTAACCATTTAGGAGAAGAGCCAGAAGTGACTATAACCGATAAGTGTTGAGAGCAGGCAGAGAGAACTTGAAGCTGGAAAAAAGCAGCATTCCAGCAGAGCCAAATGCCTCCTTTCCTCCCATCCGCCTCAACTCTCATGATGTTCGGGAACCCCATTCGCTCACAAATTTTATTTGCCGAGCCTCCACTCACCTGCGGTTCCAAGATAATCAGAAAATCAGGGCTATAATTTTTCACAATCAATTTTAGAGCTCTGGTCGAAGCAGGGTTACCAGCCCCTCCAATGTTCCAGGCAATAATTTTAAAATTATGTAAAAGACTAACAGACATGGCAGAATAGAAAAGTAAGAACAGAAAACAAAGAGGGGGCGAAGGAAACAAGCCGCCAGGGAGCCAAAATCATTTGGTGCTAGGCTGGGAGGCCTTCTCTTTTGCCGTCGTGTCATTGTCGCCGGCGGTGATCTCGCTCCGATCGACATCCCCTGTCCGATTGGCCGCACCCGTCCACGCCTCAATCTCCTGGAGCGTTAGCGTCGCAAGCTTCGACCGAGCTTTGGATTTCCTCTCCTTCACAGGCGTCCAAATTTGAAGCGCCTTTGTTGTGATCGGCCTTGCGGCTTTGCCCGGAGATTTTTGTTTCTTCCGCAGTCTTTTCTGGCTTTTTGTGCGAGCAGAAGCAGATGGTGAGGGATCCGCGTTTTGCTGGTCGGGGTTGGTTTCCGGTTGGGTCGGAATGACCAGCTGGATGGTAGTCCCACTGGAACTCGTTATGGTTGTCAAAGAGGGGGGCTTTGGGGCTTGATCCATTCCAGCAAAAAGCTTTTTTCGTGGGCTAGAGGAGTGCGTGGACTTGGCGCCTGAACTCGACGGCCCATCCATTTTAGTTGGGGCGTTTTTGGGCCGTGGAGAGCCGGCCTGCTGCCTATGGGGGACTGGCCCGAGAATCCCTTTAAGTTTGTCCTTTCCCGTTGAGACTTCCATGGCCTCTTTCCCTTTTGTCTCTGTCAAAACCACCCGATCAATCCCTAATTTTTCTCCCCTGTTTCCCCCATCCGTCCGTTGAAGCCCCGCGCGTTTGCCTCCGTGAGATTGTTCGGTGGTGGAGTGGCTCTCTTTCCCGGTAAACTTTCCCTTTCCATTATTTCCTTGATTAGCGTCTTCATTATTGGAGGAATCCGGGTTTCCTTTTCTTGTGTTGCTGCCTCCACGCCGCGATTTTCGGGTGACGATCATCCACGGTCCGAAACCTGGCTTCTCTTCCGGTGTGGGAGCTGTCTCCGGCGCCGGCGTGCCCCCTGCCATCACAATGCTCAGCTGCGGAGAAGGGGGTTTCAGGTTAGGGCAAGTCTCCTTAGTATGGCCGATTTTCCCACACTCGAAACAGCACATCGGAAGATTCTCATACTCCAAGTATTGCCAAGCTCCATCAAGCCGAACCCTTGTAACCAGTGGCTTGGACAGGTCAATTTCCACCGCCATTCTTGCAAATCTTGCTCGCTGCTGATGAAGGGTGTGATAATCCAGTTTAATGGTGCGTCCGATCATGTTCCCCAGGGAGAACAATACTTCCTTGTGGTAGAAGTGGACCGGGAAAGCCGGGAGCTGAACCCAGACTATCATCGAGCTCGGGAGCTTGTCGGAGAGGCGAAATTCCGGTGTCCATTGTTGAACGAGCAAATAGTGGTCAAAGATCGTCCAAGGCCCCTCAGTGAGAGCACGGAAATAGTCCACATCGTTGCTGAGTTTCACCATAAAACATTCCGATCCGAGGAGCATAATTTCCATTGAACCTGTTGGTCGCCATTGAGCACGAAGTTTATTGCTAAAAACAGTGAAGGAGATCTGAAGCCCTAGGGTACGAACCACTAGAGACCGCTGCCACGGCTTGCTTAATCTGGATCTGAAGCCGTCGGACACCTTCAACTCAGGTTCCCCGTTGAAAAGGCCCTGGATTAGATCCTGTTCGCCCACCGGAGTCCAGGAAACCATCCCCACAGGGGGATTGGCAGGCGTCCCTGTGACAGCATTCGCGTAGGATATCGGTCCTGACTTTGATATCCCTTCTTCAGTATGGCTCGGTTGAACGTCGACCGCCATAGAATCGTTCCCTGAGGTAGGAACTCCCATAGACATGGAAGGGGCCTCAGCCGGAAGACACTGTAGATGAGCCGTTGTCGCTTCTTGGTCCGGCGGTCTATCCGACGGGTTAAGATTTCCTGTCGCCGGTGAGACTTCGGAGAACACATCAGAGAGCATATTCATTTTTGCCGAATTCAAATTGACCTGTAGAACATAATTACAGTCAGACTAATCTTAATGAAAAAGAGTAATTACTTTTTGTTCATAAAACAAAATTGTAAAAAAAGAAATGAAAAGAATGACTGCGTGTTACAATGCCTACAATTACAAACAGGGAAGAGATTGATAGAAAGAGGAGAACTCGATCCCTTTGTACTTTGTACTTATTGACTAAACGTATAAATAGGGGGGAAAAGGCATTTTGCCCGCGTTTTATGGTGTCTGAACTCTGAATCTCATTGATCCTTCCGACCCGAAATCTTTGTTCTCTCCTCCCCTACCAAAAACCCTAAACCCGATTATATCAATAAATAAAATTAAATAAAATAAAATAAAAAGAAAGAAAGAAAGAAGGGAATTCCGACTATTGCTCTAATTCTAATACCTTCCATGCAAGAAAGAACCTTATGTGACACGATCTCTCTCCTCATCGTCCTCTCTCCCAAAACCTCTCTTTCCCCCTTTCCCTTCATCCTTTCCTCAATTCTTTCCGTTTCACCCTTGTTTCTCGCTCTCGGATCAGCAAAACCCTTCTTCTATTCCAATGGACGATACCCATCGTCGTCATAATGATCACCATAAACATCACACCGCCGTCGATCCCCAAAAGCCGCAGCAGCTCCCGTTTCTGTTACCGGCGGTTGTAATTCGGAGGGAACTCGCCTACGCTTTCCTTTCTTTCTTCCTCATCATCGGATCTTCTCTCTACGCCTTCGATCTCCTCGCCCCGCTTGATCCGGTCTCCTACTTCCGGGTCGGGTTCTTGTCCCGAACCCTGCCGATCTGCCGGGACTTCGGCGACGGCGACTGGGTACGCGACGAGAGGAAGAACGACGTCGTCGGATCCTATGGCGAAGACTGCCCGTTTCTTGATCCCGGCTTCCGCTGTCGCTGGAACGGCAGGGCTGACGTGGACTATCTCAACTGGCGCTGGCAGCCACGTCACTGTAACTTACCCAGGTACGCATGCTTACGTGTACACATGAAACTTACCTTGATCATTACGATCACGTAGCTACTAGCTAGAATCTGAAAATAGAAGAAATTGCTCTGTAGTTTCTGTTTTTGGATTGTCTACCAGCAAAGGGGTTTTTCCCTGTTTAGTAGTTGACGTGTCATTTTCCCGCCTCGTCAGCAATCCACACTATCGCTCTGTCAGCTTTTAACTTAATTGTAATAAAAGTATTTGATTCGGGAAACTCAGATTCAACGCGACGGACTTTCTGGAGAGGGCGAGGAACGGGAGGATAGTGTTCGCCGGGGACTCGATCGGCCGGAACCAGTGGGAGTCGTTCCTCTGCATGCTGGCACAGGGTGTCTCCAATGCATCCGCCGCCGCGATCTACGAGGTCAACGGGAAGCCAATCTCCAAGCACAGAGGCTTCCTCGTCATGCGGTTCAGAGACTACAACCTCACCGTCGAGTACTACAGGCTGCCCTTCCTGGTGATCATCGGCCGGCCGCCTCGAGGGTCGCCGCCGGAGGTCAAGATGGCGATCAAGGTCGACCAGCTCCACTGGTTCTCCAAGAGATGGGTCGGCGCGGACGTGCTGGTGTTCAATGCTGGACATTGGTGGAACGAGTACAAAACTATCTACATGTACGTTGTGGCTCCTTTTTCGTCGTACCCGGAAGCAGTAAGCAGACCACTACTTCTCCATGGAAATGACGCTGTTTGTTCTCTGTTTTATCTCCAGGGGTCACTATTTTGAAGAAAATGGTGAAATAAACAAGACGATGGGGGTTATGGAGGCGTTCCAGAGGTCGCTGCAGACGTGGAGGAAATGGGTGACTGAGAATTTGGATCCTGAAACTAGTCACGTCTTCTTTCGCAGCTATTCCCCTGCTCATTACAGGCATGTTGTTGGCTCTCACAATACAGAACATCCCTACCCCTTTTTTTTTTATCCCTTTCGCTACTTGAATATGGATGACGAAACGCTGACACTGTTGCAGGAATGGGACGTGGAAAGATGGAGGGCACTGCGATCTGGACCTGCAACCGGAGACGAACTCGAAGCTTGTAGCTCCCGAGCCAGCAAACAATCGACCGATTTCTGAAGTGATTACAGAGATGAGACAGGGAAACTACAAGAGAGTTGAGTACTTGAACATTACACATCTGACAGAGTACAGGAGCGACGGGCACCCATCTCGCTACCGTGAGCCGGGGACCCCGCCGGACGCTCCTCAGGACTGCAGCCACTGGTGCCTGCCAGGAATCCCAGATGTGTGGAATGAGATTCTGTATGCTCATTTGCTGTCGATGGGATTCAGAACCAACAGATGATGAGGCAAAACTTTCTTTTTACACTCCCCGGAACGGATGTACATAAGATGAGGGGACTTGTTTGGTTTTAAGGATTAGGATGAGGGCTCGACGCTTTCCTGGGGGTCGACTTCAGAGGCTTCTGTTTGCTTCACTTTTTCGAGCTGTCTCAAGAGATAGAGCCTCTCTGGTCCGTATGTCGAAGGTATCTGCCAGACAGAAGGGGAGAAAAAAGAACATAAACAGTTGGAACTTGAACATAGGAGATTTTGTCATAGTATATAAGAAACTTGAATAGGAGGGTGTACAGTGTCGAGAATCACTTACCATACCCGGTGCATATCGCTGAATAGCAGCTAGAATTGCTGCATGGCCAACTGCAGTAACCTGTTGATTCAGGAAATGAAAGATGAGAATAACAGCAGGGGAAAATGGCAAATTTGGATTCTACACCCAACTCAGGTTACAGCTTCTACGGCTAGAAAAGCATATTTTGGTTAATTCTGACGAAGTATTATTGTCTAATTAAACCTAGCAGTAAAACTAGATAATGCATCAGAGATTGCCTTGGAAGCCCAGCTATTAATCTAGCGAAAGATGAGAGTCAACGGAAGGCATGATCAACACCGCAAGTAGTATTGAGATAATTAGATGTGTAAAACTTACAGGAAGAAGCATGAGAACACCAATAGGAAACACAGATGCCACATCGGTCACAGTTCTTTGAAGAGCACGTTTCTCTTTCTCTGTTAGCTCGTCTCCAATCAAGGACCTTCTAAGCAGTCCCATCGCTGCGCCAACATCAATGGCTAGGAGCTGTGTTCCTTGCAAGACATCCTATTCACAGTTTTTCAACCAAATTAGCAACTGATTACACACAGCATCAAGAGTATTGAGTTGTTGAATAGAAAGTAATGGACCAATCCACTAAGAGTGCCAAGAGTCTATTACTTCGTATGAAAGTTCTGATGATTTTTTGTTGATAAGAGTGGATGACTGCCATTTGGTTTGATAAATTCTGTGGAAAAACTAAAATTGCAAGGAAAGCAAAAATGACGGAACAGGTTTGTAAAAGAAACAATTCCAAAATAGTCGACTTGATGGCATGTTCAGTAGCCATCCAGAAGATCTGGATTGTCAAACGCTGATTTTCCTTGAAAATAATACTATGGCTTTATCTTCAGAAAAAAGAATTCTCAGGTGTAAGCACAGGAAGTTAAGCGACAGACAGACCCTGAAAGAGTGAGATGCTTATGCTTGGATGAAACATCTTCTACTTGCTCCAAAAATCACAATCCACATTGAAACTAGATATGCATAGTATACCAATGATAAAGAACCACCCCAACCATACCATGCTAGTTTCTTTCAGTTTTTCTACTGAGCTTGCAATAATATCTTCCTTCTTCTTAGCTGGGAAGAACACAGAAACTGAAGTCCTATCACCTGTGCTTTCAACGTCCTGAAAGGATACATTTTCGGTTACTTAGATGATGGACACCAGAATGGCTAAAGAAAATAATTAGGCGAAGCATAGACAAAGACTACTCTAGTACAAAAAACCTGACTCCCACTTGTACAATGGACTTTGCAAGGGTTGCAGCGTACAACACTTGGAAAGGATGATAAATACCTCTTCATTTTCATACTGATCTGTACTTCTTTTCACCCGCTTTTCTAGTTCCACCAACTCATTCCTTATCAGTTCAAAACGTTGAATTTTGATAGACTCTGACTTTGCAACACCCAAACTTGATAATTCAGAGTCAGGCTTCTTGGTTGGAAAACCTATGAAGCTTCGCAGTCCTTGAAGTTCCCTGCAATTCAAAGAACAGTATAACAAGATAAGATATCCCAGAGGCTACCAGTGTAAATAAATTGAACAGGAAGACAAGTATATGAAACTTAATTGAAAGGATCCAACACTTAAAATGAGGCTACCTGTCACTGGGCTCTACGCTCCCTTCCAAATACTGTTGCTGCTCACGACCAGAAGACTGCGGATTGTTATCCTCATCTCCCTTCACATAAATTAGTATCATTCAAATAACTCCCCATCTAAATGAAAGGAATAGGTGCCTATGTGCAAACTTTCTACCTAAGAGAGCATAAAGGTTGAGGAGAAAAACAATACAGACTTCTGATTATAGTGTGGCATTACCTGATCTAAAGATTCTGCTTTAACTCTGAATGATACCTCAAGAAATTCAGCCTCTTTCTTGAGTTTCCTTATTTTTTCAAGATCAGAACAAGCTGCTTTCAACTGCTCCTTTCCCCGACTAGAACTTGAAACCTGGAACTCTTGCAGCAAATTCTCCAATCTTATGAGAGCTTCTTCGACTCCTTCCAATGCCTAACATAAAATAATTTGCATAAGCATAAATGAGATGCATAACACAGATTCCAATCATAAAGTCAGTTTTGATAATTTTGCCCATATAACTTAATGCATTAATCGCCAAAATTTCGGAATGCATAAATAAACCTTTATTGAATTAGCTACATAATGGTCTCTTCCCAAACTAGAGATCTAAGTTAGTCTTTTACCTTTTTACCAGGTTGCTTTGCCAAGTTTACTGCCTGCAGGGCAGATCCCAAAATAACATCTTGAGTTTAAACCTTTCATCAAGCTGTGATGGCACTCAACTTAATATGACAAGTGCATGGATTTAGGTCCATCAGTTCATTGAATCCACCACTACCAATATCCTTTCACGTTATAGTGGACATTATACATCACTGATGAAAATACAGCAACAGTGACGCAAACGGAATAAGGGAGAGGAGAGATATTCATACTAATATTAATTAATATTATAATAAGGGAGAGATTCACAGACCATGAGAGCAAAGTGAGACACAATCCACGCATTTCAACATGAGGTATGGCTATCGATTTCTGAAACATGTAACTGGCAAATAGCACAGAGGACAAACCTTTTCAAAAGAATCTTTCTCCTGCTTAGTTGGTAAGTAAGTACTAGATCCGGCTCTCTCAATAGAGAAGTTGCTATCGTTCTCTACAACATTCCTACATAACCACAAAACAATTCACAAATGAGCAAGGAGCACTTCTTAACATAAATGAACACTGACAAAAAAACTACTAAATTATCTTCCATAAATAGAAACCACAGTAATGGTGAAGGGGAGAAGGAAAAGGTACTAAATCAACAATCTGAATAGAACTGTAAGGAAGCCTTGGTATCCAATTACTTTTGCGGATTCTACCCCTTACCTAGTTCTAATAAATTGAAGAAATTCACAGGTTGATACAAACTTCTAGCACAAAATATGCATTACTGTCCTCTGGTTATCCACTTAATTATGGGTGTTAAGTAAAGGAGGTTGAAGACTCCACTAGCTTACCTTGATATCCCCAGTTCATCCACACATTCCATCAGTTTCTTGTGCCTGATAAAAGAAGAATTAAGGTAGTTGCTACAAATAAAGTTTGATGACTTCCTTACATGACATCCAATACAGCAGTAAGTGTAATTACCCCTTAGACAGGAACCTCGCCGCCTTGACATTAGAAGGATTCTCCACCCATTTACTATATTTTATAAAGCTTTGCATCCAATGAGAGCAGACGTCAAGTACTTGAGGAATGGCCTCGGCATTTGGAGGATTTTCTTGTTTTCCATGACCATACGACTGTTTTAAGGTGTTGGTGTGTCCTGGATAAAATTGAAGCCAGTCTAGCTCCTCACAAACGACCTATCAATTGAAAATGCACAAGGAGAAACAAACCTAGATGTAAAAATCAAAGCAATACATCTGTACCACCAGTTATCATGCTAAATAATCATCACATAGGTTGCTTACTTCCACATACAACTGATAACAGCTTATTGATGAAAGTTGAGGATAATATAATACGCTGCCACTGATTAGATACCTGCAATGCATCACAGTAAGGAACTGAATAAAAACAGAACCATTCCAAGCAGGTAGAGCACGGTAGGCACATAAAATGCTACCTCAGGAAACCATCAATAGGCTCGTTAACTACGTCAAATCCATTTGCAGATAAGAAGGACTGTGTGCTTCTTCCCAAGGCAATAAAAAATCCAATTACAGCCAAATCCTTGTCCAGAACCTGCAGCAAATCAGCAATAAACATTAATAGCAATTTCCATGCAACTACAGCTCTATGTCCCCTCTTTACCATCATGTCCGTATCAACACACTTCCAAAGCTTTTACATGCAACTGTGCACCTTGACAATGCAAAGCAGGGAGTATTGAAAAGTGCAGTTAAAAGCTTGAGTTATGATGGAAACCATAAAAGGTATCAAAGAGACGGGAACTCCCAGCAAACACCTTATTATGTGGCTCAATGTCCAGGAGAAGTGTACTACCGAGTTCCTTACCCTCCAACAACATCCAAAAGTTTTATTCTCTTTTTAGGTTCTTAATTCCAGAGTGCATTCTTCTAGTTGTTGAATGGAGGTCTAATAAACTTATGCCTTAACTGGCTGAATAGTTTGCCAGATTTCACAGGCAAAAAAATTGATAATACTGTCATAAAATGATATCAAAAGTGTATTCCAAGATCAAAGAATCTTCTATTAAAATCCCTCGGATATCCATTCAGCCTTATGCATGGTCCTCTCAGCTAAATAAGAGGGGGTGTTTCATTCATCAACTTAATTCTCGGTCTCACTGACCATAATTTACATAATCGCACCCACCTAAATAAGCTTACATCAAGCATCAACTTCCTATAACCCAAGTCTCCCCCATTCAGAAAATGCAGGCAACTAACCTCGATACTTTCAGATGTTGTCAGTCTTGACCATATTTTCTCCCTATCTATAGCGCGTTGGAGCTGCTTCTGCACTAGATTAACCCAGAAAGCAACTTCTTCCGCGTCAAGATCATCCTGCACCCTGCATGCTGCTGCCCGAGGTCCAAAATGGACAAGAAATTCTCTGCGTAGACCTATATCCTTGATTGCACGATAAGCCTGACGTATTGGAATCAAATCAACCAGCATGTCCATCATTTTGCCAGTAATATCTACTGGAAATAATTGGGGGCAAGAAATTTTTGTGGGGCCAAGTTTTGTGATTGCAGCAATACAAGTCAATGCAAGTAAGAGGAGTGAAGTATCAGTTCCACCGTCAGAGCCCAAGTACATGCCTCTCCCAGACCTGAAAATAGTAACAAATTAGTTCGATTGCAAAAAGTAGAATGGACAACAGTAATTATTCAGACAACAGGAAAACGTGGATAGAGGTAGCTGCATACACTGCTGTGGCAACAGTAAAACGTGGGGCACCATCAAAGTAATTGACAAAGGATGTCACAACCAATGGAATTTGTTGAGCCCAAAACCATTCACTAGGTTCAAGTTGCTTTGCAGATAGTTTTTCCCTGATTAGGCTCTCCAAGGAAGCAGATACCCTTAATAAGCTGCATCAACAATGACAACAAGTATTAGATGCTCAAAGAAGAAGAAGAAATAAAGTTCGGGAAGTCCACTGAATGGCGGGTAAAGGGAGGAAATATGGAAAGAAGAAAAAAAAGAGGAAAACCACCAAACACTTGTAAGTACTGAAAAAGGAGAAGCTGGTACGGATTTTCACTGGGGTAATAATAGCTCAAATAAAGTTCAGATATAATTTCTGCAGGAAAAATAGCATAATCTAATCAATAAAATCAACAATAACACACTCCAGATTTGAAGCTCAACTAATCATCATAAGCTTCTGGAAACTACCAATTATCATTTGCTAAATTATTCAAGGAAATTTCATGGTGGGGCTCGATTCGGTGGTTGTTACAGAACATGCGTACTTTGCACATAGAATAGTGCATGGTTGGTATGTGCTTACTCTCCCATCCAAAATCAATGTGGAAAGGGGTAGTCAATCCCTGAGATAATATGGACTAACTAATCCGAAATTCCAACCTTGAATGTGAACCAGGTGAAGAAGGATAAGTTATATATGGTAAATGAAACATACCTTCTCTGAACAAAAATGTTTACATCCTTGTCTCCGCCACTCCGCCGCAATGAAATCTCACAAGCTGCTTGCAATAAGGAATAGACAGAAGCCTGATAAATTCATTTCTACATTAGATAGTCTAACTGACTTCAGTCTGAAGTAGTTAAGAAGACAGAAGTACATAAGTTGTAAAGCATTCCCATCAGATTTCTGCATGTTATAAGCTAATTTTACTAAGAAAGATCACAAACCTGATAAGACAACGTTTTCAGCCACGCGTTACCATCTCCACCAAGCCAGGCTGTTGAGAACCAGGAAAATTTGGATACAAGGCCTCGCTCTTTAATTGCCAATTCAAAAACCCTGGCTGCATCATGCAAAGACTGAACCAGTCTATCACCTTGATCTTCCCCTTGAAGTGACTGATCGAGTTTCATTCTAATTTCCTCCACATCCCCACTGGTGCTTGGTGTGGGGCTCCCGTTAACCGTTACACTGTCATCAGCAGATCCACATGGCAATAAGCAGCCCAACCTTCTCCTTCGATAGAAGTCGAAATCCTGTTTTCTAGACCCTACCAATTGGTAACAAGAACTATAACTACCATTTCCAAGAAAAGCGAGTCGCTTAAGGCTCCTTCTCCTTGCTCTACTGCAATGCATTAGGTAACCAAACTGAACCACTCTTTTAGCAAAAGCTTCTGCTTGAATTGTGTTTCGAGAAAAGGAAGGACTTGAAGAGCTGCACACGAAAACATTTGAATACAACCTCAGCATACCACAGTAAATCTTTACAACGACCAGCGTAAACAAAACGCCAGGTACGAGCAACTCCAGTATGGATTCTCGCCAACATTCCAATGCCAGTTATTTCTAAGCTTGAGTTGCCATTAGAAACACATAGAACCAACTTAATCCAGCTGCACTTCCACGGTCTCGCCAATAAAAGCGAAATAACAAGCAGAAAAACCCTAACGAAAACCTCACAAACAGATGTAAGTGGACAAATTGCACTGGCACCACAAATTCGATTGAAATTTGAAACACTGGAATTCATTATTCTCAATCAAAGCGGAAAAACACACACATACACACTTCAATGCCCAGCTTCGCACCATTGTGAACAAATTAAAACGAATTCGCAACCGATTTTTGTTCTTGTTTCGAACTGTGCTTCCTTTTATTCGGGGCAATTCAAAAGTAACCTGTGGATGCTCTCTTCCACTAACGCAGCATGCAAGTAACAAGTTGAAATGAAAACAGAAACGAATATAATAATACAAGAACCTCCACTCAGATTCAAAAACCCTAGCGACTCCATGAAGACTAGGCTAATCCAAATGAGAACAGGAGAAGTTCACAACATTGAAGGACAGCAACCGAAGAAATAACTATACGAGCACTTTACGGGGATGATGATAAAGCACCTTGAAGATACGAAGGCATGGCGATGGAAACGTACTTCCATGGAAACGGAAGCGAGAGAATCGGCGGGGAAATTCAGCGATTTGGTTGCGGAGGGGAAACAGAATTGGGGTTGAGAGGTTCGGAAAGGCGGAGGAGGGAAGGGAAAAATGTGCAGATAGAAAAGATGACTGTGTCTGTGTGTGGGCGTGCTGCTATTTTGTTTTCCGTTCGGATTTGTTTGGGTGTAAGAAAAAGGGGAAATGGAAAAAGGAAAAAAAAGAGGTGGCGGGACTTTTATCCAAAGACGTGGAGAAGGAATGAACGCAAAAGGAAAATGATTCTCGGGCTCCGCGCTTCTTTTCCTCTTCGCTAGGCCGCTGGATCGGCTGCGGTCGACATGGAGGCTATATGATTTGAACTACGTGGAGTTCTGATACCCACTTAAAGTAAATGGACAGCAGCATGAGCATCTACAACCAAGAACCATCTGAATTTCTTAAAGGGCAATGTCTATTTTTTATCCAAACCTTTTTCAGATTCTTTTATTTTAACCAAATCTATTGAATTCCTAAAAATTATCCAAACGTTAACTCTCCGTCAACTTTTCTGTTAGTAATGCTGACTAAGTATGACCATAATGAGTTGACTTCCTACGTGGCGGTCAGAATACCATCATTTACTATTTTTAATAAAAAGATTATAAAAAAACAAAACAAAATCCCACCCTCACGTGGACGAAATAAGTAACGGTAACAGAATGAATGCCCAAACTTTGATAAATTATAATACGTTTGGATAATAAATAGAATTTCTATAGGTTTGGTTAAAATAAAAGAATCTGAAAAAGGTTTGGGTAAAAAATAGACATTGCCCTTTCTTAAACGACGGCGGTTAATTTCAATTCTAAAATTCAGACTGATGTTTAGGTAATAACCAAGGACCAGGATACCGTACCGGACCGGCCGGTCGGACCGGAAAAACCGGAAACCGGACCTGACCCGGCACAACAGGGGCTGTGTACCATCCAAGAGCCTGCCGGGCGGTTTTTACGGTTGGACCGCAATAGGCCGAAATTTCGGCCGGTTTTATTAAAACCGGCGGTCCCCTTAATTTAATCCAAACGGCGCCGTTTTTGACCAAGGTAAAAAAAAAAATTTGGAAGAGAAGCAGAGACTACACTAAACCCTACCTTCGGCTGTTGCGCTCTTCCTTCTCTCTACACTCTCCTCTCGTCTCCCCCGCGCCGCTCTGCCTCTCAAACTCGCTTCCATTTTCTCACCACCGGCGACAGCGGCGTCCCCAGCATCCAAACACCGCGATGAACAGAATAAAATCATAGCCCTTGGATTTCCCAGAAACCTTGTCCGTCACCGCCTTGCAATCCTCGATCTCTCCATACTGCTTGAAGGCTGCAATCAGGGTCTCGGCGGTGGTGTCCCAGCCCAGCCCGATCTGCTTATCCCTTTCGTTCGCATCTTCGCCGCCGTCCTCCTCTTCCACTTCTTCTTCCTCTTCCTCCACCTCCTCCTCCACTTCTTCGGCCACCTCCTCCTCTTCTTCTACCTTAACCTTCTTCGTCTCTTCTTCTTGCAGCTTATGTAGCTGCAGCTGTTGTTGCTGCTGTTGTTGTTTCTTGGGCGGCCCCGACGATGCAGTGCCTTTCGAAGCGTCAAGCTTTCGCTTCTTCGCCATCGCAGCTTACAATAGGCGAACGGAAGAAGAAGAAGAAGACAAGAGAATTAGGAAGAAGAGTGTCGGTAGCAAAATCTAGGGATTGAAATTCGGCGGCTAGGGTTTCAGATTTCGGGGATCTTGTTTCAATCGGATAGTTGATGCTAGATAGAGTTATGTTGTTGTTTTCTTTTCTTTATGTTGTTTTTTTCTTTTCTTTCTTTCTTTCCTGAAGTCTGATTAGTGTACTACTGTACTATTTTGTTTTGGTGGGAGGGCGTGGAGGGTTTGTGGGGTTTGTTATATAGTTGGAGAGTTGGCTCTCTTATGGGAAGAGTGAATATGGACGGGTTTTGGGTGAAATTAGTGGGAAATTAGGCCGTATAATCCGGTATTATTCCGGTATTTTCCCGGTATGGTACCCTAATTTTGTCGGTACGGTTTTTTAACAGAAAAATAATTTTTTTAATCCAAAAACGGTAATTACCGGTAGGAAACGGTTGAACCATGGTTGTACCACGATTTACCATGCCAAAAACGATTCCGGTTTGATGTCCGGTACGATTTCGTAATCCATGGTAATAACAGTCTCAGGAGTCAGGAGAAGTTTGCTTCATAGTTTTGGTGATGGTTGTGAGTTCCGAATCCTATTCATTCTGTGACGGATACAGAAATTATATTAAAGGTATTCAACGATAAAATAAATCACCAAGAATTGTCAAACAGTCTTGAGTTCATATACTACCATCACAAAAATAAAATTTTACAAATGAATTTTGTCAAAAAATGGAAACAAGGACAAGCCTTGGGCTAACCTAGGTCTACCACTGTATTCATTATGGACTTGTTTCAAAATTTATTTGTTTGTCACCCAATTTTAGAGGAGTAAGATTCATGGGGTTTATAGACTTCAAGATTCAAAGACATAGATTCATGGACTTGCAAATTTCATGGTTAGATGTGTAATTTGAGTGAATGTTTGCTTCATGGATTTGGAGGCATGATGGTTTTGGAAAATTTTGAATTTGTGATGGATTTGGTAAATTGTGGATTTCAAAAGTTTAAGTTTTGTATGATGAACTTTGTTTATGGATTTGTTGTTATGATTTTGTAGCTTTTATTATAGGGTAAATACAATTTAATAGCCAAACCTTTTCTTTTAAACAAAATAGTAACCAAACTTTTTCAAAAAAAACTTAATAGCCAAACCGTTAACTTTCCGTCCGGTCAACTGTTAGTTGACTCTAACGTGGCAAATCTACTGTTGAGTTGGATATTTTTTATGATGTGGCAAAAATCCGAAGTTTGACCTCGTGAACTAATGGGGAGCGATCGCCAGAAGCCTCTGCTCTCAGTCTCACCGTTCTTCGACAGAACCATCCTCAAGTCACATAATAATACCCAAATCGACCACGTCTATTAGGAATTCCTCGAAGTGGAACTCAAATTCAAATACCCAAAAGAAGAAGATCTCATGGTCTACAAGTCCTTCTCGTTGACCTTCGAACAACTGGAAACCCTAAAATCCAAATCGGCGGCAAGAGGCGGCGAGAACCCACTGGCGGAGAAGAAACACTCCACATTCGAAGCGCTTTGAGGGTTCGTCAAGAGGGTGCGAACCCAATCCCTGAGCTTCCCATCCAATAAGTGGTGGGAGTAGTCAAAATCCCTACCTTATTCTCGGCCATCGTTAGAATCCCTACTTTATTCATCGAATTCAACTGCAAAGATTCCCAAATCAAACCATTATTATAAACCAGAGACCAAACTAGCGGCAACAGAGCACAAGCCAACCAATTCGGGGACAAAACCCCTAGATTTCAACTGACGGAAACTAACCTCGAGAATGAAATCGTGTTGTCGAACTCGATCTGCGAGGCAGGGGAACTGGTGAACCAGTCATTACGCACGCGGGGGGGTTTTTTTCACGAGTCGATAAGGATGGTGGAAGATGGCTACATGAGGTCGACGATCGATTACTTTGAGGAGAAGTGGGCGAGGCCTTCCATGGCGGCAACTCTTGTGATCACGAAGTGGTCGAGGATGGCGTTCGACGAGGAAAATTTTGGGTGGGGCGGGCCGCTTTTCTCCGCCCCAGTTGGGCTTCCCAGGAACGAAGTAGTTCTGTTTCGGTCGAGTAATGGTGGCAGGGAAGAAGGGAGGAGGAAGGGAGTGCGTGTGGTTCTCAGGCTGTCGGCGATGAAGATGTTTGACAAGTTGGTCATGGAGTATGACTGGTGTTAGCCACGTGAATTATTGATTCTCAGCCACGTCAGCAAATTGGCCATGTTAGAGTCAACTAACAGTCAACCGGACGGAAAGTTAACGGTTTGGCTAATAAATTGTTTTTTAAAAGGTTTGGTTATTATTTTGTTTAAAACGAAAGGTTTGGCTAATTAATTGCATTTACCTTTTATTATATGTAAATTACCTTACTATCTTTATTTATTTTATATTTTTTTAGAGTTGAGACAGGAGGATATATATAAGTAATTATTATCATGGCCCCACGAATTTGTGACCATGTTCCAAATCTTACACCCATATTTGAGATTTGTAAGTCAATGGACTCCACAGATTTGGATCCTCAAATTTCACGGATCCCACGAATTTGGTCATTCCACCAATACATGAAACAAACAATGAATTTATGCTAAATTGTTGATGAATATGGATTTGGACCCAAATTTGTGCCTCAAATGCATGAAGCAAACTACCCATAAAAATACATCACAACAACAAAATGCAATGAGGTAAATTTCATAGCAAAATTCAATAAGCAAACAATAGACTTTGTAATGACAATAAATCCATCATAAATCTAGGATTTTTTAAAACTCAGATTTTACCAAAAAAACTCTCATTTTTCAAGTTCATGAAGCAAACGACCCCTTAATTTATTTTCAAATGAAGCACCTAATCTTTGAAGGGAGAGACTAAGCAAACCACCCCCCATGACTTCTTGTTTAAGGAGGTTTTGAGTTGTAGGTTGGAGATTTTTTCGTGTTGGAAACTCTTACGACGTTCATTTGATTGCATTTCTGATTTATGGAAATCAAGATGATGTTACTGCGGTTCAAACACCTTCAAACAATGTCCGAAAGAAGGTGTTTGGTGTTTAGGAAATCGAAGTTAATTTATGACTACTCCTATGATAATTTCTTGATAGCTCCGTGATTATGACTACGACTACACTTGTGGAGAATCCTTCATGAAAAAAGAGCTCCACAACTATGAGTTATGAAGATTTTTTTAAACAAGCTGGTTTGTGATTTTGTGTTGAACCCCCTCAACTATTTCCAAATCTCACATTTATTTTATTCTTCCAAACCAATCCCTCTTCCACCCACCTTCTACACCAAAACGAAAACTCGTCTTCATAACCACCTTCACTGCCACCTTCCTCCCTCACCTCTACTCCTCACCCCATTCCCATTCGCCGGCGAGTCAAAATCATCATTCCCTTTATCGAAATCCATCCAGATGCAGACAAAAGGAATCGTACCTATGAAGTATAGAGAGTTGGACCGCCAAGCCAAATGCAGATACCACTATAAATGATGCGAAATTTTCGACGACCTCATCACC